TTGCAAAATTGGTAGCTTCCTGGGCAATCCGATTGTAACATATGAATGTACCTCCAATAGATTACGAGTTTCATATGCTAGAATCTTAGTGGAAATGGATGTTACAAAGGAATTGCCTTAGTCTATCACCATTGTGGATGAAGGGGGGGTCAAGTTTCAGCAACCCATTGTGTATGAATGGAAGCTCCAGTTCTGTTGTAAGTGTCAAAAACTTGGGCACAACTGTGCTAAAGTATCTCCTAAGCAGCATTGGGTACCAAAACCTCCAGATGATACGCAGGTCTCAACAATTTCTTTAACTTCAGTGGGAATGGGTCCAGTAGGACTTCAGAATGAGGCTAAGGTTCAATCTCCAGGGAGGAAGGATCCAGATGGAAAACTGATGGAATCGTCCGAGGAAGCATGGAAAGAGGCCCCTGACAGAGGGAAACATCATGGGCTTGCAACATCATCAGGTAATTTGGTATGTGATAATGGTTTTGATGCCCTAGGGATTTTGAACAATCTCCTAGAGTTTCAAAATACTGGGCAATGATTATATCCTGGAATTTGAGGGGGTTAAATAAAATGGGGAAGTTAAGGGAGATTAGCTCCCATCTCCTTAATCTTCACCCTATGATAGCCATTCTTATTGAAACTCGAGTGAAATCTGTTAAGGCAAATAAAGTCAGAGAGCAGTTGAAGCTTATAGGTAGTTTCCTGGATAATTATCAGCATCACCATAATGGTAGAATTTGGATCTATTGGGATGAAAACAGGGTTGAGGTTAGATTGGTCAAATGCTCTGCACAGATGATTCACTGTGGGATCTATGATTTGAATGGCGTTTTTAAAACTTGGATGACAGCAATCTATGCGTTTAATCAGCTGGACGATAGAAGAAGACTGTGGGCAGACTTGGAGAGGGTTTACAAGAGTCAGCATGGAGCTTGATTCCTTATGGGGGATTTCAATAATATGATCAAAGCTATGGACAGAATTGGGGGTAACTTGGTGACTGATGCAGAAAGCGTGGATCTCAGAGATGTAATGGAGAAAGCAGGTCTATATGAGAAAGGTAGCCTAGGGGATTATTATACTTGGACCAATAAACATACTGTGGGGACAATTTATTCTAGAATTGATCATGTCTTGGGAAACATTGAGTGGCTAATGGATAACATTGACTTGAAATTGGCTATTCTTCCTTGTGTCTCAGATCATAACTTACTCTGTTTGAATGGTCATGTGCAGAGGGAGGCAAAGGTTTCTCAGTTCAGGTTTACTAATAGTGTAATCCAGATGGAAGGTTATCGTATGGTTGTTGTTGAGAGCTGGAAAAAAACCAATGAAGGGCAGACCTATGGCCAAGCTTTGGTTTAAGCTACTGCGTTTGCAGGTTCCTATCAGTAGCCTGAGTAAGCAACTGCCTAATGTAAACAAAACTATTGCTAAAGCCAGAACTGATCTTAGACTGGCCCATGAGGAGCTGTGTCTGGATAGAATGAATATTGAGATTATTGACAAAGTCAAATGCTGCACTGAATCTGTAATCTATTGGCAAGAGATTAATGACCAAATGATGAGGCAAAGGACCAAAATTGATTGGCTTAGGAAAGGAGATAACAATACTGATTTTTCTATGCTTCTCTGAAAGCTAAGCATACTGCTACCTCCATCAAAGTTCTGCACAAGGAAGATGGTTTTGTACTTCAAAATCCTGATGATATTGCTGCTGAGGTCTGTGACTTTTACAAGAATCTCATGGGATCGCGTGATAGCAGGTTACAAATGATTGATATAACATCTATGAGGGAAGGTCCTCAATTGTCGGTGTTAGAGAGGAGTGGCCTTATTGCACCTGTTACTGTGTCTGAAATCAAAGCTGCTTTAAAAGGAATTGGTGATTTAAAAAGTCCAGGCATTGATGGTTATGGGGCGAAGTTCTTCAAATCCAACTGGGAGGTAATTGAACAGGCGTGATCGAGGCTGTTAATGAATTTTTTGAGCATAATGTGATTTACAAAGCTATTAATGAAACTATTGTTACCCTTATCCCCAAACATCCAGCTGCCAAGACCATTCGTGACTATCGTCCGATAGCAGTTTGTTCCACATTTTATAAAATAATCTCCAAGATTCTCACGGCTAGATTGGGCAAGGTGTTGGGAAGTGTTATCAATAAAGCTCAAGCTGCATTTGTGACAGGGCAGCATATTCAAAACCACATTTTATTGGCAACAGAACTGATTAAAGGGTATAACAGAAAGATGATTTCCCCTAGATGCATGATCCAGCTAGATCTCCAGAAAGCGTATGATATGGTGGACTGGTGTGCGCTGGAGCATATCATGTGCGAAATTGGTATTCCAAGGAAGTTTGTGGACTGGGTTATGACAACCGTGACCACTGTTTCGTATCGTTTTAATCTTAATGGTGTGCTTACGGATAAAATGGAGGCTAGACGGGGCATACGTCAAGGGGACCCTTTATATCCTCTGTTGTTTGTCATCACAATGGAATACTTGAATAGATTGTTATTCCAAATGCAAAAGAATCCAGATTTCAATCATCACCCCAAGTGTGAGAGGCTGTCAATTACTAATATGATTTTCGCGGATGACTTGTTGCTATTTTCCAGGGGAGATACTAACTCGATTGAGCTTGTGCAACAAACCTTACAAACGTTCCTAGAATCCACAGGTTTGAAGATGAATTCCGCAAAAAGCAACATCTACTTTGGTGGGATGACAACTGATGCCAAAGAGCGTATTCTGCGTATGACTTCCTACCGAGAGGGTACGTTCCCGTTTCGTTATTTGGGAGTGCCTGTGACCAGCAAGAATCTCTCGGTGATCCATTATATGCCTCTTGTGGATAAGCTGGTATGCAGGATTACACATTTGAGCGCTAGCTTGTTGAGTTATGCAGGCCGTTTGTAGCTCATCAAGAGTGTTTTACATGCTATATCTTCATACTGGATGCAATGTTTCTTATTCCCAAAAGCTGTCTCGCATAAAATTAATGTTGTTTGTAGAACTTATCTTTGGACAGGGTGCAGTACTATAAGTAAAAAGAGCCCTATTGCTTGGGATAAGATTTGTAAACCATCCACTAAAGGTGGGCTTAATGTTAAGGATATGGCCATCTGGAATAGAGTGCTCATTCTGAAGCTGCTGTGGAATATTTGTGCAAAGGCTGATAATTTATGGGTTCAATGGATTCATGCGTATTATCTGAAGAATGATGAGATCATGTGCAGAAAATCCAAATTGAACGATTCAGGTACTTTCAAAGCCATTTTGCAACATCGTGTACTTGTGCCTGGTTTTAATAGTCTTGTGGGTGAGTATGTTGAACGGGGGGAAGTTCTACACCAAGAAAGTGTACAATGAGTTGATACTGGTCAGGGACAAAGTTATATGGTGTAACCTCATACTCCTAAACAAGGCACGACCCCGGTCTATTTTTACCCTCTGGATGTCTTGCCATGGGAGCTTAGCAACTAAGGCTAGGTTGTTCAGTTTTGGTATGATATCTAACAACATGTGTGTGTTTTGTGATAAAGAGGAAACTGTTAATCACCTATTTTTCGAGTGTACTAAGTTGAAGAGAATTTGGCAAGCTGTGCTGCATTGGCTCCGGATTATACATGTTCATGGTTTCTGGTCTGAGGAAATGAATTGGATTCTTAGGCAATATCGTGGTAAGGGCTGGAAATCTGATTTGGTTAGAATGACTCTTGCTGAAACCATTCATGAATGTTGGCATCTGCGTAATGACTTCATTTTTCGTAATGTTAGTGAGGACAAGAATATTGTAGAGAGGATTCTGAATGTGACTGTTTACAGAGGATGGAATAGTCCCAAGCTTAGACCACACTTAGCTTCTTTAATGATGCCTTAGGAATAGCCTAATTCATTTGTTTGTTTTGAGGGTTGGATCCTAGCGATCGCCGTGTATTCATTTTTTTTTTTTGAGTTAATATATTTTTTGATTCAAAAAATAAATAAATAATAATAGTAATAATAATAGTAATAATAGTAATAATAATAATAATAGTAATAATAGTAATAATAGTAATAATAATAGTAATAATAGTAATAATAGTAATAATAGTAATAGTAATAATAGTAATAATATTAATAGTAATAATAGTAATAGTAATAATAGTAATAATAATAATAGTAGTAATAATAATAATAATAACAATAATAATAATAATAATAATAATAGTAATAATAATAATAATGATAACAATAATAATGACAATAACAATAATAATAATCATAATGATAATCATAATGATGACAATAATAATAATCATAATCATGATAATGATAATGATAATGATAATTATAATAATCATAATCATGATAATCATAATGATAATCATAATCATAATAATGATAATAATAATAATCATGATCCTGATAATGATAATGATAATGATAATCATAATAATGATAATGTAAGTGTGAATAAGAAGAAAATAGTCTCATATTGAATAAAAATGTAAAGAATTGAGTATATATACGTGAGAGAATCCATTAACCTATTAACTTAAGACTTTAGGTGGATATATAATCCTCAAATCTCCACTTATATATATATATGTTCAAATCTCTATATTTCTATTAAATATGAGATTATTTTCTTACTCACTCACAATTCTATTATTATTCTAACATCCATAACTTAATTCCAATGAAATTTAATACACTATGTGAAAAACGATCACCAAAATCCCACCCTAGAAATTATTTTCTTCCTCGCACTTGTCACGGAAAAATCAAAAGCTTTTAACTAGATTTAAATAACATTCTACAATGCACACTTCATACACAAATTCAATATTATCAACTAATCAATACTTAATAAATTAACATGACAGAAAAATATATATCTTACTCTTATTCCGATGTCTCTAGTGTTTAGGGTTAGAGACGTCAAAATTAGAGACTGATTTCATATTTTTTTATCACTAATTATTATTGATAATTTAACTTTTTTTTTAATTATTAGAACAACGGATCAGAAGGCGAAGAATCCACTAAATTAAGAATATTGTTCCAGTAATTTTTGTTATCTTCGTAGAAATCACTCCCACCGTCGCCACCATTTCCGTCGCAAGTATTACACTCTCCGCCACTCTCTGGTGACAAACTCGGGTCATCGGAGTTAGAATTATCGAGCAAGAGATTAGTGAAACCGTCCTCAGCAACATTGATCATAGACATATCATGTTGCATGGTAGAACTAAAAGCCATTGATGAACCCTCAATGAGATCCTTGAATTCTAACAAATGTGTTGAATCTTCATAGCCTTTCCACTCTTTCTCCCCTTCTTCTTTAACATCAAGTACTTGAATCGAAGACGATGAAGTCGATGACGAAGATTGTGACGGAAAAACCGAGTTATTATTACTTCCATGTTGATGTTGTTGTTGTTGCAATGAGTATTGTGAACGTAGCTTTGATTCTCTAACCAATCTTGCTTCAGCTTCAAGTCTTGCACTTTCCCATTGAGCCATGTGACTAAGATTTGCTGCATTCTTGGAATGATTATCGGAGAAAAGAGTTTCATTTTTTGGCTTGTGCGTAATAGGATCAATTCCCATTTTTGTTAACCTTTTCTTAAGATGTGTGTTCCAATAGTTCTTGATTTCATTATCTGTTCTCTTAGGTAAATGTGTGGCTATTGATGACCACCTAAAGTATAACACAAAAAAAAAAACATTACAATAACATATATATTTACATGCATAAATTAATTAATTACATGCATATATAGTTTCACTTCTTCTATTTACAATAGATATTAATATGTAATGTAACTTTAAGAGAAAATGTGTGTAAGTTAGGTTAAACCAAAAATTTTAAGATGGCATTAGAATTTATGCAAGACCAGTGAAGTCAGATACTTTTAAGTTACTACTATCGAGTTATTTAATTTACGCTTCAAAGTCTTAAATATTTAAGATTAGTGAAGTCGTATGTTTTCAAATTATTTCTATCGAATTATTCAAATTGCACTCCAAAGTACTAAATATCCAAGATCAATAAAATTATATCTCTTTTTAGTTTTTACTATTGAATTATTTAGATCACGCTCCAAAACCTAAATATTCAAGATTAGTGATATTATATCTCTTTTTAAATTATTTCTATCGAGTTACTCAAATCACGCTCCAGAATCTTAAATATTAAAGATCAGTGAAATTACTTGCTTTTAAATTATTAGTTATTCGAAAAACGCGCACGATCATAAATGTGAACGGTGAAGTCATGTTTCATGGACCTATAATTATATGGCTTGGTGAAGAAGAATGAAAAATTATTCTATCCTTTTGCATTTTAGGACCACCTTGAATTAAATTGGGTGTCAGGGAGTAAAATGAACATGGCTGAGAGAACAATTAAGAATGGTGTTGAAAATGAGATGCCATGGCATTTAAGAGATTTAGGACAAACAACAAGGGAGTTGTAAAAAGGTAGTAAATTATGGCTCTTAGTTGAAAAATGTCAAATACAATTTAAAGTTTTCTTGTTTGAGAAAAATAATACTAATAAAATATTATGGTGTTATAAAAGAGCATAAATCTTTATATTGGATGCATTCAAATTTGTGACTGTGATGTCGTTACAAAGACTTTAAAATCTTTTGTTTCATAAGAGCAATTGCGGTTATATTTTATCAAAATGTTATATGTCATATAGACATGAAAATTCTTTATATTTTATCAAAATGTGATTAATGCTATCAAAGTTACATAAACAAATTGTATATTGTAATTTAAAACCGTGGTTATAAATACAATTACAATTCTATTATGAAAGTCTCTAAGATCTTAATATTACAATTGCAATTGTAATGTGATATCTTTATAAAAAACATAAAAATTCTTTGTATTTCATCAAAATACTATAAAATATGACACATGCAATCAAAATTACAGTTGCAAAAACTTCAAACCTTTTAAATTGCACTTGCATACCGCAATATAAAATTAAAAAATAATTGCAACTATGATTTTGTTACGAAAATCTCTAAGATCTTCACATTACGGCTACAATTACAATTGCAATTTGGAACTTCAAATTTTATTTAAAAAGTATACAAAATAAATGAAAATTAAAAGATGCATATATCAAACCTGTTCCCTAAAAGTGCATGGAGTTGAATAATAGTTTGCTCTTCTTGCAAACTAAACTTCCCTCTCTTAATATCAGGCCTAAGATAATTAGTCCATCTCAACCTACAACTCTTCCCACACCTCTCAAGTCCTGCAAAAACAAATCACCATATCTAGTTAACAAACTCGGATCATCTACCGCGACTTTACGATACAAAATATCGATTTCGAAGAACTAAAAACATTTTCAAGATGATTAAATTACCAGCTTTTATAGGAAGAACACGCCAGCTTCCATGACCATGTTCTTCAATGTAAGATAAAAGTTTTTGATCTTCCTCTGGTGTCCAAGGCCCTTTCTTTAAACCAACTTTTTCACAACATGGTGATCTTCCCATTGAAAATGTGTGCTAAGTTGGAGGAGTAGGAGAAGAAAGTATTTGAAAAAGAAAGAGAAAGGAAGATGAATATATAATGGTTGAAGTAGTAGCTATGTAAAAGAAATTAATGAGATGGAAAGAGAAGAATTTGTCAGCGGCATAAAAGGGATAAGAAATTAAATTTGCATTCATTAGTGTATATATCATTATATAGAAAGAGAATAGTAAAAATTTAATTTAACTGCACTACTAGTATAGTATAGTACACCATATTTAATACACTAAGTAATGAGTCATTTATATTTATTTACAGCATAAATAAAAATATTTGAAGAAATCTGAACCAAAATATCTGATATAATTTTTAATATAAAAAGACGTGTATTTTCAAATTACATTATAATTTTAATTTGATACAATTGCAGAAATTACCGTATAAGTAATAAATAATATACTATACATATGTTTACACAAATGTAATAAATAATATATTAAAATTTAATATATTTATAAAACTAAGAATTTAATGATAGGACACTTTTAATATAAAAAAAATATTAAACGAATATCTAATCAGAATATCACAATATTTTAAAGTGTCAAATTATATAATTAATTTAAAATTTACAATTTGATTTAGCAAAATCATATAATTAATTTAAAATTTACAATTTGATTTAGCAAAATACTTGATTGTTAATATAAAAATAATTTATACTATAGGGGATACAAAGTTTAAATTATCTAAAACTTTTTTATTAGTATAGATTTGTATAAGAAAAAAGCTTAGAGAGTTAGTGCATTGATGGGGTTTGAATTGTAATGAAAATCCACTAGCTTTCATTGTCACTTTCATGTTACCAATGGATAATTTTAAACTTATCGACAACATTTAATTCTAGTAACACGTCACTAAGCATTTATGACGTTGCTAGGGCCAATTTTAATTTAAGAATTCATTTTGGGGAAGACTTTTTGAGTGGTCCTTGCTTTTTAATTTCTCTATTCACATACTTGGTTCATTTTTTACATTATTGAATGTATATGTGTGCTTGTATGGTAACAATGTAAGAATTAGATATGCATTCTTGTTAGGCATGCAATCCTATATTGAAGTTGTATTGGAGGCTTATATATTATTTCGGAATGCCTTAGCGGTCCAATAAGATCGCCTCATTGCTAGACGCCAAATTCAAGCCATCTATCTATCTTTTGTATAGCTCTTGCTCATCATCAACTCTTAGATTTATTTTATTGGTTGTTACAACATGATATTCCTTCGAGTACAAACAAGATGAAGGAGGATATGGCACATGAGAAGCTAACATACTAACAAACTGTTAGTTATTACGGCTAGAATTAGTTAGGATTTATAATACAATGCATGAGTGTGGATAATAGTAGACATAGACCTTACTTATTATATAAGTAAGAAATGTAATTCATCTCTGAAGTTAATGAAGTTAGATGCAATTAATCTAATTATTTTCAATTCATAATATGGTATCAGTTAAATTTTCTAAGTTTCATTCATCTTCTTTCTTTGCCTCATGCATCAAGAACAAGTTTCTGATTTTTTGACTCATTTTGTTTTCAGAAGTGTTATCGTGTTCAAATCAATCTTGATCTTCTCTTCATCTTCGTTTCACTATTATTGTTCTTGATTCAATCATCTTCTTTCTCTTCGATCCAACTTCGATTCACATTCATGTCTCTGCGTGTGACTCTGCCAGACACCGGTTCACACTACTACATTCATCCCAACAAAGTTTTTAATTCTGTCTGCATTTCTCCAAAGTTGAATCGATCTGACTACCTTGCATGGAGTAAATCCATGCAACGAGTTTTAGGTGCAAAAAACAAGCTTTAATTTATCAATGGAGACCTCCAGATCCCTTCACACCAATGGGAAAGGTGCAACCATTTGATTCATTCTTGGTTATTAAATTCTGTTTTTGAATAAATTGCTTCCACTATTGTGTTTCATTCTAATGCCCTTGATGTATGGATTGATTTGAGGGAACGGTTTTCTAAAGCTAATCATATTTGCATATTCAATCCTCGTTCTTCTATCAATAATTTGAAGCAAGCTTCAAAATATGTTATGGATTACTTCATTGAGTTAAGAGGTTTGTGGGAAGAACTCAATGAACACCGTTCGCTCTCCATGTGTTCAGCAATGCCGTTGCCTCGCCATGCAGAATGTTCATGCCTATCATGATGAAGATCAGGTTATGCAATTTTTAACTGGTCTTAATAAACAATTTTCGGTCGTCATAACTCAAGTTCTATTGATGGAGCCTTTACCACCAATTAACAAAGTTTACTCATTAGTAGTGCAAGAAGAAATTAATCATAAATTTGTTAACATTGATCAATGGTTTTCCACCTTTATTTACAGTTGATTTTAGTTATAGTTTCTTTATTTTGTCAAGTGTTTTAGTTCATTCTTCTATGTTTTATGTGTTGGTTGTGTATTTTATTGTTTTCAGACTCAGAGGAATAAAATCAGGAAAATCAGTGCGAAAAGTGCGGAATTTAGAATTTCGGAGGAAGTCTCAAAAAACAAAACTAATGGTACCTGACACGGCCACCCGTGTCGTCTGACACAGGCCATGTCAGGAGAGGATGCTCAGCAGGCGATTTGAGAGGTAGAGGCATAGGCTGACACGAGTACTCGTGTCAGAAGGTTTGGGCGAGAGGATTTTTTTGTGCGATGGGAAGAGAACAAAACGGGTGCCCGTGTCAGGTGACACGACCCGTGTCGGTCAGGGCGCTGATTTTGAGTGTTTTTCTGATTTTTCATGATTTGGGACCCATAGGGGTGTTTTGGGAATTTCCGACCAAGGAGAATGAATTATTCACTATTTAACCACATTTGAAAGAGGAATGAGGAGAATTTTTTGGCAGCGAAGAATAGTTTACACGACTGAAGATTGGGAAGATCAAAGGTCTTGGAGAGTGGAAGATTTTCATGAGCGGAAGCAGTTGAAGATTTGAAGCTATCCAATTACTTGTAATGTCTAATCTTTATCTTGTGATTATTTTGAACAATATGAGTAACTAAACTCCCCAATGCTAGGGGTGTCCCTGATTTGACTCTGTAAATGATTTTGATTCTTGGATTTCTTTTATACAATAGTCTTCTCTATTTGATTTAATTTTACAATGTTTTTATGTCTTCCTGATTGGATAAATTAGGATTGTTTTACGGTTAACCACCAGCTGGACCGCAATTGTTAAGGTTTTTGTATAATTAGACTATAGTAGATATGATATAGGACTAGGGATACTCTATAGTTACCTAATTTAAACCTTGATAAAATAAATGCTTGATTTCATCAGATATCTCTAAGGACTTAGGATTTAGGATGGATGGTTAAAGGATTTCCCACTAAGAACTTAGGGGAAGATAATCTAAAAGGCTAGTAATTGAAGATATGAACTAGTTGAAGAGATCAGGATTCAAGGTTGTTACAGGAAAAATTATACACCATACCCTAACATACTCCTCATATCTGTGAAAAAGCCCTAATTTACATTCTGCTTATTTTTATTTCTGCTAAGTGATATATCCTAAACCAAAACCCCAATTAAAGTTTTTATTTAATTGAACGTAAATTGAACTCGATACTTGCATGCAGTCCTTGAGATTGATATTCTGGGAATTTCCCATTATTACTGCAAGGCAAAAATGGTACACTTGTTATTTTTCCCATCAAGTTTTTGGTGTCGTTATTGGGGACTGCCTAGTTATTGAGTATAATTTGAGTTCAATCAAAAATTTGTTGTTCTACAACTAAAATTTATTTTTTGTAGTTTTTATATTTTTTTTATTCCTGATTTTCCTAACCTTTACATGCGAGGAAAGCCCTCAGCTAAATTTCCTTTTGACGCAAAAATCGAAAGAACTTTTCACGCAAGGCGCAGACAAGCTCGGTTAGTTAGACGGGAATCAGAAGGTTCATCAGATCATTCAGGTTCAGAGTGTGAAAAGGAAAAAATAATGGGTGAAGACCCACCACCACCAGAGAGACTTCTTGGGGACTATGGAGGAGAAAATGCTCCAACAGGTCGATTGACTATCGTAAATCAACCGGTCAATGTTGCAAATTTTCAACTACATCCTTCAACCTTCCGCCAGCTCGAGAATAGATCTTTCACTGGAAAAATCAATGAAGATGCCAATAAGAATTTGCAGAGATTCCTGACCATGAGTACTACTTTGAAGATTGAGGGGCACTTTAAAAAAGCCAATAAATTAAGGATGTTTCCGTTCACGCTGTCTGAAGATGCTGAAGAGTGCTTTTACTCATTACCTGCTAGAAGTATCACCACTTAGGAACAAATGGAGAAGACTTTTCTTGATAAATACTTCCCTGCTTCTGTTTACATTCGCAAAAAATATGATATTGTGAATTTTAAACAGGAGAAAGGAGAGTAACTTGGTGATGCTTATAAGAAGTTCAAGAGGTTATTAGTAGCCGGTCCCACTCACAACATGGGTCAAATGGAGCAAATGAAAACATTTGTAAATGGCCTTCAAATGAAGATAAAATAACTAATTGATACAGAAGATGGCGGCTCATCTAACTTTACAACAGTCACTGGTGTGAAGAAGATTATTGAAGTCATTGTTGCAAATGAGCATCTAGAACTATATGACAGAGTTGTAAGCAAACCAGAGAGAGTGATTGATTTGAAGTTGGAAATTAATAAGCATATGAAAATTGAAGAAGCAATTACTGCAGAAGTAGAGAAAAAGCTGAAAGCAATGAGCATGGGTACTCAACAAGTAGCTCAGATTCAACAGGTACAAAAGGTAGCTTGTGAAATTTGTAGTGGACTGCACCTTATGGTGCAATGTATTGAAACTCCATAATAAATTGAGGGGATAAAGTTTTTGAGGAAAAATAACCCATATTCTAACACCTATAATCCTGGATGGAAGAATCATCCTAACTTCTCTTGGAAATATCGACAACAACAAGCTCCTCAGAAGGAAGAGTGGGAGGTGG